TGTTGGCTGTCGGCATGTTCTCTACGAATAGTTTTGAGCGTTTGTGCACCATTATAAGTCTTATTTGACTATCGTATCGATCTCCCATATTCCGTTACTTTTCTGGCCGCAAACTAAAATTGTGATACAAGTGATTTATTATATGTAGTACAAATACGTAATATGCCTGGTGGAAAAGGAAGTTGGAAAAGAATGCCATTAAAACGCAGTGGTCTGACGTCATAGAAAGCTCAGTTATTGAAACGCATGGCGGTTGAAAATGTTGCAAACTTAGCTAGCTTAAGTTGCAACCGCTTTGCACCGAAAATTTTGGATATAATTAACCTGATATAACCTGATATAACTTAGAATACACCACGTGTGGCAGCCGAAAAAATCAAAGCACGCATGATGTGTTTGCACCCCACAGGAGCAGATTGTAGGGGACGAGGAGAACAAGAACCCACCAAACACGCACTGTAACAAAGGTGTTGACACAAGGGCGGGATTGGCTGGCCTTTGACCACAAGCAGTGTTCGTAAAAGTTTGACTTTAACGCTTTGGCGGTGAAGTGTGCTATAGTTGTCTCAGCTGCTGGCCTCCGCCAATAAGCAACGATGTGAAGCTCAGCGTTTTTACAGTCAGTTGCAGATTCTCGCAGCGAATGGGCCGGCGCGGGCAGTAAAATGGCCCATGAATCACGGTCGAACATGACCGCGAGCAACTGACATCACAAGCGGCGCAGCGTCACGGCTCATTAGCCCTATAGCTCACACAAAATGTTCTACGGAGCACAGACGGGATTCTGCTGCGCACAGACGGAGATCCGCCGGACAATTTCGTATGGTTACCACCTACCCTGCCCTTCTGAGATGTAGGGAGTGCCGAGGTACGTAGCCTGAATCCGATATAATCCTGAGATTTTGCAAATGTGTCGTTGATCTCGATGTGCAGATCATCTTGCAACCAAGGACGCTACCATGCACTGTGCCCTCTAAAAGTTCCCCACGCATTCTAGTCGGCTAATAATGTATTACGCTCAATAATAAAGAATCGAAGGCGTACTGACGTAGATTATTGTTACTTTTCTAGACCAACCATCAATGAACGGTGTTGTAAAACATTTCAAGTGCGTGAAAATATGCGAAAGTCACTTTTAAACCACATTCATTTTTTTGAGTTGTTATTAGAAAAAGGCTTTCTAGATCCAGTCATTGGAGATGGCCAGTTGTTTTCCTGTGTACACTTTACTTAACTACGCCTATTATGCCAAAACTCGCTGTGAGAGGATAGATTAATGTTCCTCTCGAATTTTTGTGAATTTCAAGTGGAAAATAGAGTAGCTGCTTTTCTTTGGTTTCAAACAAGCATCGAGTGCATGATTTGCGGAAAACCTGAAATGAAAGTTGTGGAAGTTGTTGAAACTTGATGGCACATGTGCAGAGGAAGGCTGTACGCACAAATTAATGACGATGTCCACATAGTTAATAATGTACGATTATCGCTGGTGTAATGCATAACCGCGTGCGTCCTCTGGTTTCTGTGGTTGACAATACTTCTATGATATCACAAGTTTTTCAGCCACGTACTTTTCATTAAACGCGATGGTCTAAAGCAACGGCGTAATTAACGCAAATTTTGGCCCAACTGGATACCTTTGGCGTTGCAAGACCCAGACAACGCGGCGCCAGCGCGGTGTCAAAGACTTTCAGAAGTACTATTTGCACGACGGTTGTTCTCGCATGTTCGGCTCCCGCCGCCTGATGTTATCTGCAGCGGCCAAGGTTGCTCGATTTTACAGAAACGGTAACCTCGGCCATAGCTGTTGCTCCTAAGCTTACGAGCGCGTAGGATCAACACTCCGCAACACTCCGCAAGTCAACTCTGCGCAGGCTCAGGCAAACATGGGTCTTAGCTATTCATTTTTTTACCACATTTCAGGCCACTCTGTTTGATACTTATGAGGCTCCTTACCTTTTTTCGGGCAAATGGCTGCGTGGGAAGGACACTAGAGAGCGCCATTTCGCTCCTATCAAAGGGCCGAAGAATTCAATCCCAGCGCATTTGACCCACCGGCTACAATTTTGGGGACGCGAGAACAGGGTCAAGGTCCATGGTCGATCTGTAGGGTTTTAGAGGAAGATATCTTACCTTCACGGGTGTCGATTTATATTCTTTGTGAGGGCCCTGGCCCCCCAATGTTGAGTTAAGGCCCCATGTTGGCTTGGCCCCCCAATCTTTTGGGCCGAAATACTACAAAAAACGTGGGTAATAGATGATCATGACGCAAATACTATCTTTTGAAGCTTTTTACCTAGTGGCGTCTTATACCACTCCCATAACATAAAGTCATAGTTGCCCTTGCCACCAGACACAAATTGTAACAGCTGAGCGGATACACGATGTAATAAACTTCACATGCCTAGCGCCATAAGGCACGGAATGGTTTGTGAGGTTAAAGTGAAGAGCTCTGGAACATAGGAATGACCTAAGTCCTTCATTGCTAACCTCGTCCCCATCCCCAACAACCAAAATGCGTGCAGCCTTCCATAACCGCCATAGAAAAGCGCCACCGTCGCCCCAAGGCTACCTCTTAAGGGGCGCCCTTATGTACCAATCAGAAGAGACGCGTGCGTCCAGTGCCTGCTCCCTGGATCCAACGCTGCATGACTTCTATACCGCTTAAGTTAAAGACTTATATAAATTGTACAAAATGAAAAACACACGGTGCATTTAATCAAAATAAAGCGGGCTGACTCCGATGAAAAAGGGGGGTAAGTTGGCTGGCCTTCGATTCGGCGCCCTAATAATTTATAAAAACTGACACCCCTGCATCTCCTCCCTGATGTGGGACACCCTCGGACAAGGGGCACTTGGCCTCAGATCGACGCGGGAACCCTCATTGACGCAACAATGTCCATTATCAATCCAGGTGGTCCTATAATTGTCACATAGACTGCAATTCAGCTTAAAGGGAAAGTTCTACTTTTGAAGATGTCTAAGCAAGCATCAGATGTGCTGAAATAAGCTCGGTTATATCCATCTGGTTTGCTTTTTTGGTGGAACAGACTGTTCTAGACAACACCATTTTTCTATTTAGTAGAGATGCTCATCAATACGCCATTGTTGGGTTGCGTCATGCAATTTTGTATGACGTCAGAGGTACTGCCAAACTAGCCGTGCAAAATTGCCACCCCAGCACTCACTCGTAGTACTATAATCTCCCGAGAGGTGGCCGTGGAGGTGCTGAACCAAACATCGCCACGTGCTGGTCCTTTCTCGTTGTACTCCTACATACCTATCCGTGAGTTTAAGGTGCATTGCATTAGGGTTCCCTGCGTTCTGTGTCGGTCAGGTACGCACAGTGCCTAGCGGGGATGCTGTATGCGCAAGTGACCCCGGGTCATCCGGGGCTGTGTTCGAGGGGGCCCATAAAAGAACCAAAAGGGGGCCCAAAGAGGGCCCGAAGGGAGCTCGGAGCTTAACACCAAGGGCGGACTAGAAGGCTGAAGGGCCCGAATGGATGCATGCAGGCCATCTTAGGGACCCCGCCCGTAGCCTTATGACCTCAAATGTCCATCAAGGTGTCTCTTTAACTAACTGGGTACTCCTGAAACAATGCGGGCCTCTATTTCGGCCAGAGATGACCAATACCAGCCAGCTCTGTGTCGATCTCAACCCTACAGGCCGATTACCCAAGCAGCGACGAGGCCAGAATCCGCGATTTGCTTTGATCACGGCCCCTGCAACAATGAGGGCTCCTGTAAGAGCCTAACGGGGATGCTGCGTCGGCAGGGGTTCCAGGGTCTGCTGGAGGAGCCTTTGCTGAACAGAAACAGGAAGAGGACGCCGAGCGCCATAAGGCCTTTTATATTGCCCAGGGCCCTCTGCCAATTAAAGGCAATATGATTACTTATGATGAGGGCCCACAATGCGCCCTGCGTCAGTGAGTGTCCCAGTATCGAACAGAGAGCCATTCACCCGATTTCAGCCACCGGGCTGTTGAAGAGAGTGTTCTAAATTTGCATGGGGTTTTGAGCTGAACTAGGAATTTTGAAGATTATTTGGTGCGGTTTACAGCCCTGCCCTTTTTAGACCTAAGATCACTTCAGTCATAACTTTTTGAGGTACACGCCCGCAAAGAGGTGTAGAGTATTTCGTGCAGACTATTTCGATGCTTATTCAGGCACGTACGGCGACATATGAATGCCATTCAATACTGCCACCCAACTGGCCGTGAGGCGTTCAGGTCCAGCAAGTATATAATCGCCGAGTCATTCATATTTGGCGTTTATGAGAACGATTTCCGGGTAAAATAGACTTCAGTTATCTCTCAGTCAAAATTGAGCAGACTGAGCAGGCTTCAGCCGCGAATCACGTCTTGTGCGACATTACATATGTAATATGCTGGACATGGGCGCTCTAGTTATTACAGAAATCAGACTTATTTTCATGCTGGTGGAGGGATGGGATATTTAATGTGAATTACAGCTACCATTTCAGACCCTCAGATCTGTCACCTTTTAATCAGACCTTTGATCGTCGGTCCCGAAGGACGTTTCGTGCCGTTTTTCGGTCCCTCGAACACTGCCCCTGACCGACTCAGGACCCCTTGTCGACACAGAACCCGCTGCTAGCCATTACAGGCCCCTGACTGAATCAAAGGGCCCCTCATTGGCTTGGCAGCCCGACCAATTTAAGTTGAGTGCCCCGGCATTTTCTCTGTTTGGGAAATGGGCCGTTGGGCCAGACCGACAAGGAACCAACTATTCGGTGTCCGGCACTGGTGGTGCCGGACCGACATAAAGGCCCTCCGTGACTCAGGGCCCCCCCAAGCGGCGCGCAGGGCCCTCTGAATGCCATTTAAGAACCCAAGGGCGGGGGAGACACTTGCCATCTGCTCCCCTGCCTACGTTACTGCAGGCTTTGAAACACTAATACGCCAGTGTGATAGTGGATGTCGCGGCTAAACGCGTACTGCCGCGCACGGCCCGCTGACAGTTTCTCCCGCTGGCCAACAGGTGACGCCAGCGTCGCGACCATGGACCCTGACGGCGTGGGCGCGACGCGCCACGCTAGTCCGCGCCGTCAGGGCTCGGAGGAGGAGGCGGCCATGCTGGCGGAGGAGCGCGACCTCGCCAAGGATGCGCAGTGGAAGCGCATCCAGCAGAATACGTTCACACGCTGGGCCAACGAGCACCTGAAGGTGGCCAGCCGTCACATTGGCTCGCTGGAGACGGACCTGCAGGATGGTCTCAACCTGATCGCGCTCATCGAGGTTCTCAGCGGCAAGCGAATGCCGAAGCACAGCCGGCGGCCGGCCTTCCGCTCGCAGAAGCTGGAGAACGTGTCGGTGGCGCTGCGGTTCCTGGAGCGGGACGAGCACATCAAGATCGTCAACATCGGTGAGTGGCGGCGCCGGCCGGCGACTGGCGCCGGGCCGGGGTCGGCGAGGGCGCCAGCGAGGGCGCGCAATGCTCATCTGAGCGGTGGACCCGGCCGGAGCTGGTGTCGTGTGTGGAGTGTGTGGACAGCAGGTCTGGCAAGGGCGGACGCAGCGAGCTCGCCCCGAGTCGTGGAGCACGCGCCAGTTACCTCCCATGTGTGTGTAGCCTGTGGGAAAGGTACCGTGACGGCGTTTGACCCGGTGCTTAGGTCGGCGGTGGACCGAGCTGAAACGCCGGAGTGACGAGAATGACTTCTCTCGCCAGCCCACGTACACAGAGAGAGGGGTGCAGGCGACGGCAATCGATGCCTTGCAGACTTGGGCTCTGTTCCCGCGGCACGCGAGGCTTGTTTGTTCAGACAGAGGGGGATCACTCCGATAAACGGCGGTCTTATCGCGCATTTCAATGGCTCGATAAAGCTCCTCCGTCACCGTGCATCCATGCCACCAGAGTTGTTCAGTGACTGCCTGGTAAGCTCCAGAACCAAACATGCCTGGTAAGCTCCAGAACCAGACCTGGCTTTGGTCGATTTCCTACCTGTGACCCGTGGGCTGAGCCTCCACCCCGCTTCGTGTGCCGGCGGTGTGTCGCCCCCGCAGAGCGAGCCTCGACGACAGAGCTGGGAGGAGGCGCGGTGGCCGGCAGGCCGCACCACCCGGCGACGTTTCTGAGTGGCACATTCTGAGGCCATCGATCGGGGTCGGGTGCACGTGCGGCGACCGTGCGGCCCCCAAGTAGGTATCTGCGGGTCAAGCACGAGCCGCCTGCAGCCAGGCCTGGCCGCTACAGAGCGCTACAACTTCCAACCCTCGACCGACAATGCGACGGCCCGCCCCGCCCCGCTCCGCCCCGCCCCGCCAGCTCTGACGCATTCGTAATGAGGCGCGGCGCACGCGACCCGCCGGCTCCAATTGGACCTGCCGCCTCAGCCGACTCCTGCCGGGCTCAGGGGCTCTCATCCCCCCTGGCCGTGTCACGGGAGCCGCTGGAGTGAGGCCGGTCCGACGCCTCAGGGGCGGTGATGGTCCAACACGTGCAGGGCATGGGACGGGGCGGCGCGGTGTGAAGAGCGACTCTAATGGGCTGGAGTGCGAGAGCGGCATTGCAGACAGACATGTACCTTTAACCCGACAAAGATTTTCAGACTCCAAAATATTCCTGACAAAATTAGGAAAAGGACATTAAACCCGAAAGGGGGCTTCACAAAATTGTGAAAAAGATCCTCGATCTCGAGAGAGCCTCCTACAAGTTTTCACCAAAAGTCCAATATCGTGGAACATAACTGGGCAAAATCTAGAAATGGGTGCTGGCTCTCAGAAGATCCCGCAACAGAGCGTCAAAATAAACGCTCGATTCTGGAAAATGAAAGAAACAGGACACAGGGAGTTGATTCCAGAATCCCTTATCGAGATGTACCTCGCAGCAACAGCTTCTTGACCAGATCCATTTGGTCAGCCTCGACATATATGCTGTTCATTCACGTTGTCGTCAGTCGGCGGTAAGCGTCAGCTCGTCAGGTAAGCAGTCGGCGTCAGCTCGTCAGGTGAGCAGTCGGCGTCAGTTCGTCAGGTAAGCAGTCGGCGTCAGCTCGTCAGGTAAGCAGTCGGCGTTAGCTCGTCAGGTGAGCAGTCGGCGTCAGTTCGTGAGGTAAGCAGTAGGCGTCAGTCGGCGGGTAAGCGTCAGCCCGTCAGGCACGCAGCCGGCGTCAGCTCGTCGGGTGAAGAGTCGGCGTCAGTTCGTCAGGTAAGCAGTCGGCGTCAGGTCATTAGGTAAGCAGTCGGCGTCAGGTCATCAGGTAAGCAGTCGGCGTCAGCTCGTCAGGTGAGCAGTCGGCGTCAGTTCGTGAGGTAAACAGTAGGCGTCAGTCGCGGGGTAAGCGTCAGCTCGTCAGGTAAGCAGTCGGCGTCAGTTCGTCAGATAAGCAGTCGACGTCAGTTCGTGAGGTAAGCAGTCGGCGTCAGTCGGCGGGTAAGCGTCAGCTCGTAAGGTAAGCAGTCGGCGTCAGTCGGCGGATAAGCATCACATATTCAGATAAGCAGTCAGCGTCAGTTCGTCAAGCGGAGTAGAAACACGCCTGACGCACGCGTGCCCCTCAGCTCGACCCTCAGCTTGCTACCTGAGCTCGGCCTCTCTTGAACCTGGCATCATTAGGAGTCAGGTTTAGGCCTCTGATAGAAAAGCGCAAACTTCAAAATTAGATACACCAATTGATAGATGTGTACATTAACTAATATCTATGCCCACAGTTACAAGCACATGCTTACACGCTGAGAATAAAGCTGAAATTGCAAAACTGCTTGTTGCACTGGGAATAAAACCAGATTTTTTGCATGCAGCACCAGAATACAAGTAATCCGCATACGAAGTACCACCAAACCGGTCTTTTAGCTTGGTGACCAATCTGCACTTTAGAAAGTTTCCAGGGGTGTAGTTTGATGAAGTTAGTTGAGGGAGGGGTTGTGAACAGTGAAAATATCCCATCCTACCCCTAAACATATCAACAAATAGGTTTTTCCCCATATTTGGTCGGCTTTCTCGCCAACGTTGGGGACTGGAGCATTAGTTGGCGGTCTGAAGTCCTCCAACTGAATAAAAAACTAGGCCTCTGAAAGTTACGTACATTCAGCCGTTCGTAAGCCAGAACTGATTCCACATTATCATTGAAATTCTAACAAACATAAAAACATTTTGCGGCTTCAATTTTGATTCGCAGCTTGAGACCAATGTGTGTGTGGGGGGGAGGGGGGGGGGGGAGGGACGGGGGGACATTAGCACCGATGATTGGTGCCTCAGGGCATGCGCTAGGTGCTACAGCGACTAACCCTTCTTTGTGTTGTTTTCTTTTCGACAAATATCCAGCGCATTTTCAGTGTAGGTAAGTAGCAACTAGGCATTTCTGGAGCATTTTAGCAGAGCGGAGTTTATCAGCGGACTAAATACCCATCAGCCCGTTCCACTATTGTCAAATCCCATCGCATTGGCCATGCATGATTGGGGAGATGCAGAAGATAATTCCCTGTTGCCAGCCTATTCCCGCTTTTACAGTTTGGCTCCCTGGGCGACAAATCTGGTCACAGCACAAATATATGGTACCAATCGGTGCAAAATGCGACCGTGCCCTTATTGTTCCTCAAATCAATTGGGAGGATGTGGCAATGCAATCGCGCCAAATGTTGTAAAATGCCACCGGCGACGGCCTTTCCCGCGGATTTGGTTTTCCGCACGAAGTCCGCTCAGCCCTCTTCAGGCGACCCAGCGCGCCGGGTGGACATTGGCACCAGCGGAGGGGAAAATAAGCGGGGTGGATCGGGCTCAGCTGCAGTTATCGCCCACTTCGGCTTGAAGTGATGTGGCTCTCCTCTGGCTCGTTCCCCTGAAACACGTGATGGCGGGCTCATATCGCACTTCAGATGCCGGTGTTCACGTCTGACTGCACCCGACGCTCCTCCGCCCGCCACCGAGCCGGACCGCCAGGGAGCACCTGCAAGCGGGCATTAAGAGGCTGAGCAGATTCCACGGGTCAGACAACTCAATGGCGGAACGTCTTTTCTCTTTTTCAAATGTGTGGCTGGTGTCAATGGCGTGAGCACTTCTGCTTTGTGCTGTTGAGCGCATCGTCAGATTCGATCGGGGAGCGATGTTTCCGCCGCGCGACTCGCGCCACTCACTGTTGTCATCTACGTTCCCGAAAGACGACTAGGCTGCCGCCGAGGACGACCGGCCGAGGCGACATGGTTGCTGGGCTTGGCCATGATGCTGCAGCTCAACGTCTGGACGTGGTGCGGTATTGGCAGCCTGTCGTACCTCTGGGACGCCGGCTCTACGTGACGACGCCGTATGTGTGTGTGGGTGTATGGGTGGGTGTATGTGTCCTGGGCGGCCCAAGGCTTGACGCGGCTGGCGGAAGCGGCATGCGTGTCGTAAACCACATGTGGTGCTGGGAATGCGACTTTGGCATACTGGTGCCATGCCCCGTCGCAGGAACTAAAACTTCTGAGCGTTCGCCGGCATATGAGCATAAGCAGCTCTGATCAGTTATGCCACCAACTGGTTGTCTAGTTGCGTAGTTTTTTAGCCCCTCGGCTGAATCACCACTGTCGTGCGGGGCCGTGTTCATGAGGGTATTTGCATTGCCGTTAGCATGGCCTGATGCGTGATGCGATCTTACGGACAATGCAAGCCCTTACATGCCATGAAAAACTCGCATTTAGCTAGCAGCCCACTGCTTGCACCCGCAGGAGCGAGTGTGGTGCGGTCACTCCTGTAAGTGATTATCACAAGGCGGACTGCAAGACTCGTGACCCTGCACTGGCATCACTGCCTGCCTTAGCGACACTACCTCGGGCCGCCGGGCCGCAGCGTATTTGGGAGAAACGTGCGTGTCCATGGCCGGAAGAGCTTTTCGCTGTGAAATTCCTTCTGAAGCGATAGAGATGAGAGCTTGCCATTGCATCTCTACACCAACGTGGAAACATCTCCCAGTTTCCCCGCCTCCCACGGGGGCATCGCATCCAGTATTACGCCAAAAACATCCCCAGTGTCCGAGGACCGTGCCCGGAATCCAGAGACGTCAAAAGAGAGGCGGGATGTAGATGAAATTCTGCTTCGTGAACCACCGAAGGCAGCGTCGGATCTGGATAGTCGGCAGTGTGTCCACGAGACACCAAAACTGAAGCATTTAGAGTTGCTTTCTAGCCATGATTGTATGATGAGAGAACATTACCATCAGCAGCGACGGAGAGGAGCATCTGTGTGCCCTCTACATGCGATATAAACGGCCAAGCAGGATGTGGCTCATCGTTCCCAGGGTGCTAGATGATGTGCACACTGGAGTACACTCAAGATGAATGCTACATGACTGAGCAGGCAACGTAATGAATGCCAGCCCAACCAAAAATTGCCGATCGACAAAATATCGGAGCCTCTTTGATCTTTGAAGTTATTCACACAGTGAAAAGGGCCATATTCCTCTGATGTGACAGGTTTGAAGTTATCTGAGAAATCAAGATGAAGTGTTTTGTTTGCTGCCGTGCCAGGACTGCACCACTGTTCTAACTGTCTTGCGTGGCTTTCAACGATATCACTAAATTTCAGTGAAATAACATCAGCAAGGGGGCCAAGATGGTCGTGGTTTGCTAAGATGGGGCTCAAACGCTATTTTTTTTTCAGCCAAGAGAACCGGCCTCACTAGATGGCCAGTCTGTGTTGCTCTTCCCGAGATAGGTTAGGTATCTTATGTCTGTTCCTTTGCCCTCTTCCTCCTGTTTTCCTTTCAACCCATCTTCTGTGTCTCTTAGTTTTTTATATAATTCAAGATGTCCAAATGTACATCTGGGCAAAAATACACCCGCTTGCCAGTTCAGCGCACCACGTCAATTTCTCAGGCAAAGACCCTTACACCTGGTTGGCCGACTGTCTTGCAGGCTGGCCCCCCCACATTGCGTGACGACAGTGCCGCAGTCTGCTCTGACCTCGGCCGAGGGGTCAGACCCGGAGTAACAGCGAACGAGCTGCCGGGATCATAGATCAACGTCTCTCCCCACCAACCAATCACATCACGGGACCTCAGCCGATGGCCAGGACCGTGGTGCAGGTGGCCGCTGCTCACCACACCGATGGCCAGGACCGTGGCGCAGGTCCGCCGCTGCTCACCACACCGATGGCCGGGACCGTGGCGCAGGTCTG